ACCAGATCATACCCAAATAGGGCAAACACCTGGCTGTAATCAATCAAGTAATTTCTCTACTTTACTTCTGTGTTCTCTTTATAAAAGCTCACTGCTGATGTAGCAGAGTGCAGCTCTCTGAACCTCTTCTGATTCTGAATGTTGCCCAATTCATGAATTGTTCTTTACTCAAATAGTCATTTAATGTGCGTAAAGTTTTTGTTTCAACAACTAAGAATAAAAACTTGTTTATTGAGGTTAAATTATCTTTACTGTTTTTAGTCAAATTTCATGTAATTTAGTAATGTAATTGAAGGAAAATTGATGGTAATAAGCATTAAATATATATTTCATTAAAATATCCTTTGCTTGTTGATATCAATATTTTCAAAGCCCTTTGTTGCAGATTGTTAAGTTCCAAAAGTGGCCAGAACAACAAAACAATATTTCTAGTCTCACATGCTCTTCTAGAACTTGCCTTTCAACTTACCAGGGGTGGGAATGAGGGTGGGGGTCTTTGAAATTAAACTTGAAATTACTTGGCTTCTGAGGCTTCATCATAAAATGCGACAAATGTTTCACCTGACTGGCTCATGTGCTCTCTCTTCATTCATGCTTTAAACCCAGCCACTATACTGTGAGGAAGCCCAGGTCACCTATTGGCAAAGATAAACAAAGTTGAACATTAGATAAAGTGTAAAAACAGATTTTATTCAGTACGTACTGACAGACTGTAGGTGAAAGAGCTGAGCTCCATTCTGATATGCAGATGCGACTGAGCATTTTAAAGGGAGAATGAGGGAAAGGGAGAGAGCAGAGCTGAAGTGAAGAATTATAAATTGTTGATCAGTGTTAATGTCATTAGGCCAGCTGTGTCTGCCAGCTGGCAATTATGAAAGTCAGGCTTCCATCCTCCCACTGAGAGTCAGAATCCCTATCCTTCCAATGATTTCAGGTCCTTGAGAAAGACATTCCTGAGTTGTAGGAGATACATATATATCTCAAAGAGACAGAGGAAGAATTCACAGTTATGAGCCCTTTTTAGTAAATGTTCTAACAAAGGAAGGTCAGAGACTTGTCTTCATGTTTCAGTTGGAACAAATGGTAAATTCTCCTAGCAGCATTTCTCAGGGAGATATTTTTTACTGGGGTGGGTGGGGGCTGCAGTCATTCTAGGGACTTGGCCATAAGCTGCCAGAAGCCTTGCTGGAGTTTGGTCCTCTCTTAGTGCAGAGGTTTTCAAGGAGTCTTTATGTGCTGAGAGTTCTGAACTCCTCACCATGTGGAGAGAGCCCAAGGCCCCTGGCCTCAGCTATGTTGAATGAGCCAGTTTGGAAGCAGATCCTCCAGCCTTCAGTCAGGCTGCCCCATCTGATTCTGTATGAGATGCTGCAAAGATGAACCTTCCCACTGAACCCTGTCCAAATTGTAGCAATTAAAGTCTGTGGACAAAAGAAATGATTATTTTTGTTTTAAGTCACTAAGTTTTAGGTTGGCTTCTTATACAGCAATAAATAATCAGAACACTGATTAAGTATAAAATATGTACGTATGGATTATCAGGAAGGAAAATCATTTAATAATTGAATATTTTTCTTGGTAATTTTTTATGCCTCCTCTAATCTCACCACAACAGTTTTTTTATCCTCAAAAAGCTAAAATGATGTAATAATTGACATTAGAGACAGGTTTTAAGTCACAGCCACTTTTGATGATGGAGGTTAACTGACTTGGTCATAGTTTTTCAACAATGTGCTAAGAGTTGAAATGAGATTCCGAGACTAGTCTTACCAAACATTTCTTTTCCTTATCTTACCTTCCTCTCCTCCCGGAAGCTAGAATGGCCATCTTTTTTTTTTTTTTTTTTTTTTTTTTTTTTTTTTTGAGACAGAGTCTCACTCTGTTGCCCGGGCTAGAGTGCCATGGCATCAGCCTAGCTTACAGCAACCTCAAACTTCTGGGCTCAAGTGATCCTCCTACCTCAGCCTCCCTAGTACCTGGGACTACAGGCATGTGCCAGCATGTCCAGCTAATTTTTTTTCTCTATGTATTTTTAGTTGTCCAGGTAATTTCTTTTTAAATTTTTTTTTTTTTTTTTTTTTTAGTAGAGACAAGGTCTTGCTCTTGCTTAGGCTGGTCTCAAACTCCTGAGCTCAAACAATCCACCCTCCTCGGCCTCCCAGAGTGCTAGGATTACAAGCGTGAGCCACCGTGTCCGGTGGAAAGGCCATCTCGAAACACAGATCTGATCACATTTCCCCCTACTTAACTGGTTTCCTGCTACTCTTAGCACAAACTGTACAGTTTCCACACCTACAGATTCCCTCCCTCCTGCCCCTTCATCCTGCTTGAAAATTACTCTCCCACACTTCCCCGCACTTAAATCTCTATTGAATATTCTCATGACACCTATTATAACCACAATGAATTATTTACATGTTTGACTGTTTCATGTCCGTTTTCCTCTCTATGCTTTAAGTGCTATGAAAATATGAGAAGTGTCTGTTGGGTTCTGGGCTGTAACCTCAGTGCCTAATATGGTGTCAAGCATTGAGTTGACTCAACGTAATATTTGTCAAAGGAATGACAGATTATGATCATTGAGACATATCTTCAGATTTTTTAGATGTAAAATCCTTACTCTTGTTATGATCTGAGAGCCCAATCATCTAAAAATAATTTTTCCTTTGCATTATACAGTTGTCCCTAATATCTATAGGGGATTGGTTCCAGGACCCCATGAATACCAAAATCCTGGAGGCTCAAGTCCTTTATATAAATGGCGCAGTATTTGCATATAACCTATGCACATCCTCCCATATACTTTAAATCATCTCTAGATTACTTATAATGTCTAATAAAATGCAAATGGTAAGTATTAATAAATAGTTAAACTGTATTTTTTATTTGTATTATTTTTATTGTATTGTTATTTTTACTGTTTTTTTTTTTAGTATTTTTTTAATCCACAGTTGGTTGAATCCAAGAATACAGAACCCACAGATATGGAAGGCTCACTGCATATATCATCCTAAAAAAATATGCACCTGTAATCCTAGTACTATGGGAGGCCAAGGCAGGAGGATCGTTTGAGCTCAGGAGTTCGAGACCAGCCTGATCAAGAGTGAGACCCTGTCTCTACTAAAAATAGAAAGAAATCAGCTGGACAACTAAAAATATATAGAAAAAATTAGCCGGGCATGGTGGTGCATGCCTGTAGTCCCAGCTACTCGGGAGGCTGAGGCAGGAGGATCGCTTGAGCCCAGGAGTTTAAAGTTGCTGTGAACTAGGTTGATGCCACGGCACTCTAGCCTGGGAAACAGAGTGAGACTCTGTCTCAAAAAAAAAAAAAAAATGGCTTAACTGTGAAACTTCACATAAATCTTTTATACAAGAAAACACAGTGGTCTTTAAACTTTCTGGTCATGTCCATCCCTAAAGGAATTACCTCCTGACATATTTTAAAGTTGACATCTAAAACTTTTCATTAAAGGTTTGATTAGGTGCAGAGAATGTAATATCCAGTATTGTAACTATAAGCCTTTTAAAACAAAACTGTTACTAAACTTTAAATGTATCTAACAGACCCTATCATAGCAATGTGATACTATGATCCATTTAAAAAATATATGAACAAAATTTTAATAAGTTGAAATTTTATGTCATTCCTTTTTCTCCTTTAACTCATATTTCCATTCTACTGTTCCTCAAAAATTGTATTCTCTTTTGGGCTTGACAGTCCTTTATTATTTCTTTCATATTTCCCTTCTGCAAAAACGTACACTCAAATTAAATTTTTCAAGTCTCCTGACTGTCACTGTGTCACCCAGGCAGGCTGGAGTACA